TTTGGTTATAAAGAACGAAAGGAGAAAGCATCTGCCGTTGATCGATCCCTTTGTGCGATGCGGCACGCATTCTACTTCCATTTGCACATTCGTAGTGGCGTTTAAGGGCAGTGGTCAAAAGGAAGATTGTGTGCGGTGCAGACCATACACCACAAGTGACGACGGCCTCCAAGTAAATCTGGTTAGTAGTGGTTCATAGTGATAGCTGATTTTTAGTAAATGATAGTTGTAATTACTGTCAACTGATCGAATACAACTGTAACAGGTTAATCATTTCATTGGCAAAAAACATTTGCATTTTCTGGAGGCCGTCGTCACTTGTGGTGTATGGTCTGCACCCGACACTTTCTGGCTTTTGAAGGAGGTTACAGTGACTTGCGGGAATTGAAAGAAACGCCGCTAACTCCAGCAGCGGCGAAACAACATAGCACTGATTTTGAAGGGAGGGGGTAAGGTGGTGGGCGAAGCCTATGACCGAGAAAACGAGAACTCTGACAAGAGAAGTCGTTTGCCTCCTTCATTGACAGAATTCTCGTTTTCTCGAGAAATTTTGTTTTCATTGGTGAATTTTTGATGGATCTTGAATTCTGGAAGCGTCTGTTTAAAGTGTGATATTTTCAAAAGCACAGTCCCAGTAGGGTCCATGCCTTCTACATCAATGGTGTAGAAATGACACCTTAGCCTTAGTCAAGAACATAAGGAGTGTCACAACTGAAAATTCACCTTGAGAAAGCCGCTAGAAGGGACTTAAACATGTTCCAACGCTTTTTTTCTCCCAATCCTTGTCTCCACCCACTTGCTAGCTCTTGAATCGCGCATTTGGCCGCGTAGACATGTGCGATTGTTTCCAGACTACAGGAACTATGTAATTGGACTCGTTCCTTCAAACCGTTCCATTCTATGTTCTCACCTACGCTGGAATTCTGAATGCTTTGACCAAACGTGCGCCGTTTTTGTCTCAGAAACTGCAATGTTTGGAAGCTATATGTCTCTTCCTAACAATGGAAATCAGGTGCAGGCCTTAAGTAATAACGGCTCTTGACAAGCAAGTTCTTTCAGCTCGTCCGGCCCGCCCCTTCCTTAATTCAAGTGGAACAGATTGAGACTTTGTTTAAGGACTTCATCGGAGGTTTTCTTTGCTTCTTTTTCCATTTGCAGTCGACTCGACATCCACAGTTTCATAATCGGTCGCCTTTAGCCCGCGTTTTCGATCTGGATTTGTTGCTTCAAGCGCCCAAACAAAATTTAATATGAAGTGCTTCTCAATCCCTTTTGATGGATGACGGCAAATAATGAAATCTGATCAAGGAAGTTCAATTCGACCGATTTTTCTGTCGTTTTCAGATTTATTGTTTCGATAAATTATCTCAGTGCAACCTGCATACCCTACAGGCCGCGGGAACTCACCTCAAAGAAGTTGATCTGATCGGTGACGAAAGGACAATTCAAGAGAACACTTGCCCTATTGACTGATACCCCCCCCCTAGAAGATGAAGCAATGGGAAGATGGGTAAAAGTGGGTAAAAGGAAGAGTAAAATGGTGGAAATTTAGGGAGTTTAGGTAAATTTTTACTGTTTCAGAGTAGCTATATACCCCCCCCCCGCTCGACGGCATTTTTGGAGGAAAAAGTGGGCGGAGTTTGGTGGGTGAGTGGTACCAGAATTAAATACTAGAGCGGTATCAAGTCCACATCAGGTCCACTTTGGGGGGGGGGTCGTAAAAATTTTTTAAAAAGTAACAACGATAGGACCGACCCTGCAAGCAACGATGTAGTATGGCGCCACCAGCATTTAAGCTTGATTCGAAGACTCCGAATTGCGTTACTGATATAGCCCAGACCAGCAGGCCACCTTTGAGGTTGGTTAAATTATGACCCGTTCAAAAGTATAAACACACAGAGTTGTAGATTGGCGAGCAGTCGCAGTAAATGCCAAATCACGCATACAAATGCCACTACGATTCCTGATAGTGTCATCTTGCGCGTGTATCCTAGAAAAGATTGATCTGCAGCAAATGCTCCACATACTTGTTTGGTTGCTTGTTTGTTTCGTTATGCGTTGCCATTTTATCCTCAGAATAGCTTTTTTCGCTTAGACTTTAATAATTGGTTGCGAAAGTAAATAAAAGTAAAGTACAGTAAAAAGTCATGAATGGAATAAAATACATAAATAATAAAAAAACTTCAAATAATTTCAGAGACTTTCAAATGGCATTTTTGTCGATATTCTTGCTCCACGATATGGCCGACGTCCAGCTAGGTGTTTAGCGTTCGGATCTCATTCGTTAACCGAACGGTAGCAATTATCAGCTTAGCGGCCATAGTGACCGCCGTGGGTCACCATCACCTAGGCTTTGGCAGACGACCGGGAAATCAACCTGAGCAGCCCTCACACTGTGAGTGTGATGCTTATCGATCAATTTCTGCAAATTTCTCACTTGATCTTGATTTTCCCTTTGCTACTATTCAAACACATCTATGTCACAAAAGGCTATCGTGCGATTGCGGCATCAATTATTTATTTATATTGTTTTTTTATGTAAACAGGCTGGTTATTTATAGAATGCACTTGTCACAGAGACTTTAGAGATCATGAAGAATTCCGCACTCTGGCTGCTGGTGGTCCAGTTTTCTCTGGCAATCGGCCAGCAAACGTACAGCGAAATGTCTACAATTGATTTGTTTGGAAATCGTAACCCGATTTTCAACTACATGCCAAATCCTGGCCACATTGACCCATCGCTTCTTGATCAACGCGAAAAATACACGGATCTCCGAGAGGAGGAAGGTATGAGATTCACCACGACAGTAACCAGACCCCATCTAACCAGGAAGGATAATGGGTCGAAGTGGCCATATGTAAAGAGACCACACCGGATGTGTTTTTGGACGCTGATCTCGAATCTGCTTTCCAAATCTGCCAAACGATTTTCCGAATGGAGTTATGAAGGAAAGTAGTGCAGCGGTAGTAGTCCGGGTTCACGTGCGAGACGTCGTAGGATCGATTCCCTGGCGGGTTCTCTTTTTTGCCTTCGCTGCAAAATGGTTGAAAAAGGCTCCCAACTACGTTACTCGATCAACGCTTGCCTGTAGTTACCCGTGCAAAGACTTTGCGAGGAGTTTCTAACAAGTTTGGGCGGTACTTGCTAAAGACTGCACATGGAGCCCACAGAACTCTTGGCAGACGTTTTTGCAGCAGATAAGTGTGATATTCGTGTTTCTGAGATGAAAATTACCTCGAGACAAATTGTAGCCAAATCACCCGTCAGGGAATCGATCCTACGACCTCTCGCCCGTGAGCCCGGACCACTACCGCTGCTCTATTTTGCTTCATAACTCCGTTCAAAATCGATTGGCAGATTTGGAAAGCAGATTCGAGATCAGCGTCCAAAAACACATCCAACTGGTGTAGGTCTCATTTACATATGGCCACTTCGACCCATCATCCTTTCCTGGTAAGAATGGAAAGGTGGGCGGGTCTTAGGAAAGTACCACTACTGCTTTTTGTACTTAGGTTGGTGGCACTTGTTTCCCTATGGGCCACTCTACAACGATGCGAATCTACTGAACAAACCTCATCACGATCGTCAAATCGATTTCGACTTCGATTTTCCTTTCTATGGATTTCGATTCAATTACACCATGGTAAGCTTGCATTCTGGTCACCAACCTTACATTTTATCTATGAAACATTTCAAGCGCTTATTTCGAGTTGCGCCATGTACCGTATATTCATCAAGGTTTGTAGAAACATTTGAAAGCGTGTAGACTTATCAGTTATGTCTAGAGTTGCAGATTCACCATCTACTCATTTACATTCATTTGTTTATTTGCCCATTATGCATATTTATTTATTTTTGTGCACATAATTTCGTTCGCCGTTCTTGAAGCGTGGTCAACCTGTGTAAATCAGGCATTGAAATGGAGAGTCAACAGATCTCTCGCCTTAAAAACTCCTCTGTTTACTCCAACTGTTTACAATTCCAGTTTCTTTCTTCGTAGAACCTAACTTTCTCACCTAACTTAGAAATTCATAAATGACCTAGGTGATGGACCAGGTGAAATTATTTTCCTCCTTCGGGGTGTTCGCTTGTTCCCCCTAACGTTCCGTCAGAAACGCTAGGGAGAAGAGGAGCGTTTGGCGGTTTAAAGGACATATCTCAAACCTTGAGCCATGTTTAGGCCTTTGAGGAAGACGATCTCGTCGAAACGTCAGGCCACTAATAAAGTTTCCACCTAACAACCTCGTTGGCAGAAGAACAACGTTTTATTTACATCCAATGTTTACTTTTTTCTTTAACTTGTTTATTTTTTATTTATTCTTGTCAAATTTTGTGCACTACATTTGCAGATTTACCCGAACGGACTGCTTGCTTTCTCCGATCCAGAGTTTATTCAGCCGCCATACACTTTTCCGAATCCTCGATGGCCAGAACAAAAGGTTACAGCTTTAACTTATATAGGCGAAAACTTCTGAAGCAAACGACCTTCTTACTTCTGTTCAAGTCATTTTTTCCGTCGAAAATATTGGAAGGTTTTGTTAAAAATTTATGGATTGTCGACAGAAATTTTTTACGGACCATCTGCACTTCTTGTTGGTGGGACATTCAGTGCCTACAGTACCTGGATCGATAGAGGATTGATAGAAAGAAAAGAAGAGGAGGATAGACAGAATGAAGGAATGATTATGAATTTCAGGATGCATCGTTTATTGCAGCATTTTATGCTGATCAAATTTTTCAATTCGTTGGTGAACGTGGAATTTCAAATGTGTGGTATAGGTGAGTACGATAATTTTCGATGGTCGTAAATGCGGACATAGTTTAGAAAAATTGCAGCCACTCAGAGAAATGTGCTCTGTACGCTATAACTCCTACATATGTCCGCAATTGCAACCATTATTGGACTACAGTAGTGTGTGGATGCAATAAGTGACTGGCAGATTTCATAAGAGCAAAAATCCAAGTTGGTTAGGTCATGCTCTACCGTATCTTCGGTGGTAGGTTACAAACATCGTGGAGCAATAGCTCGTGCTATTTACAGTAATTCCAACCTTGGCAGTGGTGAAAACTTCGGAGTGGATGGACTATTTTCTCAAGCAAAAAGAAAATTAGGGGGTGTATAAATTCTTTCAAATGTTTATGATAAGGGAGCCTTTGTTGTGAACTGAATGGCGTTAGGATATCCGCCCCAAATGCACCTCCTGCCGTGCCTGCCCCTTTATTGGAGCCGTACCTCTCAAACATACTCAGACAAGT